TTCTGACTTCATGGAGAGTCTTGTGCCAGACTAGAAACTGGAATCAGATGCTTGTACAGAATGTATCTAAAACCCAAGCTAAGATTCTGCAAACCTCTGCTGCAGTACTGCTAAACCCTGAAGAAGCTTCCTCAGGTGTTATAGTCCATGGCGTTAACTTTGCTCAGGATCTCTGTCACTTTGACTTACGCATATGCACAGAAACACCTCATTTTTTGCAGGGGTTAGCCACTCAGCAGCTGGCTCCTGCCTGACCCTGGTCAAGATCCAGAATCTAGAAGTTCCTCTGCCCACATCCCCTGAGGGGCTGGATCTGGTAGGCAACCTCAGAGCATGCATAACGCACACCGGCAGGATTACCTAAGCTGTTCATATAAATAGGGTCATCTGCTGCAGAGTCAGATCTTATTTTAGGGGGCTGAGAACTTCTTCAGCTCATTATTTGGCGTGGGATGAGGATTATTTACCATGCAAAGCACCTAGTTGGTACTAATTTTCACCGTGTCATGATGAAATTGCAACAGAAAAGCAGCAATCTAAAATTCAGTGCCATCTGTGACACATTCCCATCTGACTTCTTGCTCAGCACATCATAATGATACAGTCACCTGAAAGGTTTGGGGTTTGGATCACTTTTAGAATACAGATTTCCAAATATAAAGGAAGAGGAGAAGGAATTTGTTCAAAGCTACCTTTTGCTTCTTTTTTTTTTTTTTTCTCTCTCTTTTTGTTTACAATTGTAAGTAACTTTGTGTATGCATTTTATCTCATTGTTTTAGAGAATGAGCTAACATTTACCGTGAGAGGATCCTTTGAAGAAACCCAGACAGTTTCAGTGGGCTTTGACTCCCGCTCCCCTCTCCCAGATCCCACTTTCTTCCACTATGCCAGATACAAGCAACCCTCCCTGGATGTTGCACTCAGGAAGAAGACGAAGCTTCCCACCTTTGTACGTTATTCCAGAACATGGTAGACAACACAGACATTTCTATGACCTGACATTTACATGTGAGTAGGGAGCAAGAGGAAGACATTTCTGTTTTAACCAAAAAGCACTCCATGCTCCTTTTCAGTGTACTTGCATGTCATGTGGACCAAGGAGGAGAAGTGTCCCCTTGACAATCCCTCTGAAGTCACTCCCCTCTGAGCAGGAAGTAGTTGGTGAGGTGAGTGTGTGCTGGCCATGGGGAATCCTTTGCAAGTTTTTGGAAGTTCTTTCTGATTTGCATGAAGCAGAAACCAAGGGCCACTTCTCTTTATACAGACAGCTGTTTTTTAACCTCCCTCCAATCTAGGGCAATGCATAGTGAAGTGAATTATTTGGAGCAAAGTAAAATGGGAAATCCAAGGGAAAAGGGGGAAGAAGAAAAACAGCTAAGCTGTGGCTCATGCTCCTTTTACTGTCCATGTCCTTAACAAGGCTGGAGATGACTGGGTGCTGCTGGGACAGAGTGGTGAGGCTGCAGCCTGGCACACTGCCCCGGGAAGCAAACCCGAGCCACACGTGTGGGGTGCTCAGCCTCTCTGGCTTCCCCTTGCTATGGGAGAGGCTCTGGTTTCAACACACATCTTCAGTGGTAGATCCTTCCAGGGAGGTGAGCTGCAGCACTGCAGCTCTTCTGGTACTTATTTGTGTAGCTAACTAGCACCAGGCAAGCTACACCAAGTTTTATGGGAGAGATAACATGTGGACTACAGATGATTAAATTAATCAGTTATTAACATCTATTAAATCAGTGCACATCTCTGGTTACTATTGAAATATTGAGAAGAGATATCATTTTTTTTTGAGATTCAGAGTTTTGTAGGTGTTGTGATGACCCAAAAGATACATGTCTTAGTCTGACTGGTGGGAAGGGACCATTCTAAACAAAATACTAATAATCATTATTGTACCTTTTCAATTTTCAGCACAGAAAATTTGATTTGCTCCTTAAGGTGAAAAAATGGTAAGACATCTGTGGATTTCCCCCTGGTTCTTTGTATTTAGATAGTTGTAAATCAAGTTCCAATCCCACTGTTACTGCCTTTGTCTTGAATGCTGGTCCATCTTCATTTCAGACTATAAAATAAAATGCACTCAGTACATAATGCAAAGACTTTCAGCAATGGAGTTTTTGTAATGGGATGGGGAATTAAGAAAAGGTTTTATAAAGAACACACCAATTTTCTGTTCATACTGTGCTGCAATCAATATTACATGGTAAAGGTTACTGTAGACACACTGTAGACATCTACTATTTATTGCCAAATGCAGATTCTCAATAAAAGCAACATTTCAAAACTAATTGAAAAACCCTGTTTCCCAAAAGGTCTCTTTAGATGTTTCCTTCCACTAAAAGATCAAAATCAGAGTGCCTGGGTACTCTAAGATGTGAAAAAAATTGAAATAATAAATGTACCTGCATTTATTGTTTTAATGTCTACTCAAAGAGATAAGTGCAAA